AAGACTATCCTTATACCTTTTCAGTTGCCCACCAGCGTTACGTTTACTTTTCGTTAGGTGACTGTAAAGTAGCTGCTTTGGCAGTCTACTGTCGTCCATGCGGGTAACATGGCGTCCAGGGTAGTTGTTCATGGATAATGGTAGCCTCGACGCTCCTACAGTTGGAGTCAGTGAGAATACTGACATTTGTTCTCTTGTCTTCCCAGCGAACTCTGAGGATGGAACGTAGACTATGTTGGTGAATGTTTTCAAGTGCCTTGAGGTGCCTCCTGTATGTGACCCATGTCTCGCTGCCATATACTGTAGCAGGGTGGGGAGGACCACTGCTCGATATAGGTGCACCTTTGTAGATAATTTCAGCTCGCTACAACTAAAGATACGAGTACGGAGTTCTGCCAAAGGCTTGAGATGCACATCTGATCCGATGTTGAATTTCTTCATCGATGTCCGCGGTGGTGGACAGGTGGGAGCCGAGATACTGAAAGTGGGCAACATTAGAGAGGGTAGTACCGTTAGGCTGGGTGGATGGTGGAGGTGTGGCTGAACCAGGGGCAGGCTGGAATAGAATCTGAGTCTTATGTACATTCACCTCAAGACCGAAGTGTGCATACGCATCTGCGTAGGTGTTCAGGTCGTCTGCATCCTAAAGTTCATTGATGGAAGCGGCCGACACCTTTATTTTACCCTCATCACAATTAACATCATTATCACCACCATCACCACGACCATCATCACTATCACCACGACCACCACCATCATCCTGCGTACATGCCTAGCCACTTCCTGGCCTTGGTGAATTTCCTAGTTATCTGCACAGGAAGACAGATAATAAAGCTACCAGTTAGTTGTCCCAGCCAGAGACCCAGAGCATCACCACCGCCTCGCCGCAACGAACCTTTCGCGACTATATTGTGTTCTCCTCAGTTGTTCTCCTCCTCACCTGTCTGTTCTACTGTTCTCTCTGTGGTCTAAGACGTGTGTGAGAGGTGCGTTAGCTGCGTGTGTCGCCTCAGGGGCCTGGTGACGAAGACCTGAGTGATACAGTATATATCGGTCTCTGGAGAAAGAACCGCCGGGCAGTAGCCAACACAAGTGTATGTAGTTAACAACGAGTGACATTCAACCCTGGAGGAAACTTCTTGACATTGTCTTTGTATTATTCACCTGAGGACTGTGGTTCGACTCCCCCCAAGAGCGAGATGGTATCCAAGTTTATATCCCATTACTTGAAACATTCTCCGAGAACCTGCAGTAGTTCACGTCGAGATGGACTGCAAAATGTCACCACCCAGAAGAAAGAAAGTCTAGAAGCTCTCTCGTCTTTCACATCCTGAGAGATGTGGTTAAAATCCAACCGAATTAGACTAATCTGTCAAAGTGTCGATCCTGTGACCTCAATGTCTCTACACAGCCACGAGAATCTACCCAAAAGTCGACAAGAAAGAGTTCATTACGTCTTTGACTGCTTCGTGGAAAAGGGATTTTGGCTTTACACTTGAGGGCGGTTGTATTGTCCCCACAGTGAAGGATGAGAGGGGCATAGTGTACAGCTTCTTCTTGGTCACGTGTTGAGTAAACTTCGCCTCAGTTCCTCCTCTGAAACCACCGAGGAGATCTGAGTTATCGCGTCCTTATTGTGATCACTAACTACCAGTGCTTAAGGCCACTAACTACCAGTGCTTAAAATTACTAACTACCAGTGCTTTAAATAACTAACCACTAGTGCTTGTGGAGTGCTGGTGACCTCGTTCAAGATAAATTAAGAATGGAAAGAATTAAGAAACGACTACTCAAGTAATTTTTTCCTATCATTATATAAACAGTATATAGATATATCTTTTGTGTCTCTCATTCACCCACACGCCTCTGCTGGTGACCATGGTGACACGAGGATGGACAGTAAGAGATCACAACTTCTCTACTGTGTTATTCTCGTCTCACTTGTGGAGTCTCCCCCTCTTACTCCACGAACCTGCGTTATATAGAAGGGATCAAAACAGGCCCAAAGTTAAGGAAAACCTAGCGAAAATTATATATATAATTTTCGCTATGTTTTCTTTAACTTTGGGCCTGTTTTGACAGTACAAGGTTCATCTCCTAACTTAAGTCCGCCCTACCGAGACCAACAATTTGCATCCTTCAAGTATATATGTTACGGTTTTTTGCGAAATAACTTACAGACAACCTAAACTAACCTAACCTTATGGTTAAGTTAAGTGAGAGGTTAGGTTAGGTTAGGTTAGGTTAGTGTTAGTGTTACGGTGTTGAATCATCACGTGAAATATGCTAGGGTAACGAATATTAAGATATACATAATGTTAGAGCTTTGTAAAGAGACAAAGACAGAAGGGGACACACACACACACACACACACACACACACACACACACACACACACACACTTTGCAATGACACGATAAAAACTAATAAGTAGTCCCTTTAGAAACATGCGCTACCACAAAGAGCGTTGATATTACCGTTTTCTCTCACTTATCTTTAGGGTGTACTTGAACTTCCTGTCTCCCTCCTCATATATTATGTATTTTTTCATTTTTGGAAACTTCTGACTGGACAAAAAGACCATGAACACATTCATACTGCATATACAGTTTCACACAAAACCTAACCTAACCAACTTTAGGTATAGTTTGGTTATCTTATGATGGTAAATGACGTCTTGGATTAAACTGTATATACGAATTAAATGTTATTGAGTCAGATGCTTCCTAGAGTTTAATAAGCGATTATCGTTATTTAGCGTGGCATTATATGTGCTCGTACAGTATATGATGCATATCCAACTGTAGAAGGTAAATCACAAACAAACAACAGCCCTGTATACTAAGACCGTATCTCAGTCTCCAGCAGTGAAGACATACATCAGTAGGTGGGGGTTTCAGTGTTATGATTCGTGTGGTACAGGGGCGGATCCAGGATTTTATGGGGGTGGGGGGGGGGAGGTGTTGGCTTGGGTTTTGTGTGAACGGATATAAAGTCACAAGGAAAAAAGGAACAGAAAAAATAATAATTTTGAGTAGCAAGAAATATATGTTATTTAGATATAATTAGCGTAGTTCATGCCGATTGTTAATTGATAATATATGACTTCCATAGATTGACGACAAAATATACAGTACCATGGTATTATGAATAAATAAACAAAATCACAGATACAATACAATGGCAATTATTGACAAACCCCTTGCCGATTTTTCAAAGAAAATTAAAACAAATACGCCACAATTTCACAATATTTTTACAATGAACACTGTCGTAGTTTGGATAAATATGTTAAAATGGGGTTATTACTAAATTAAACCTAAAGGAACCTTAGTTTAAAAGAAACACAAGTGGTTGAAGTATTGCTAAAAGACCGCATCAACCTAACCAAAGAAATCAACTTAACCTTACCTAACTACGGTTCCCCATCATAATATTAACTAGAATGAACTTATTATAATATGGTGTAATTATACGGGTTTTTTGTGGACGTGAGAGAAGCAACTCGGACCAAGCGACTCGTAAATAAACAATTAGCGGAGGACCACATCGAGCGTGACGGAGTATTACCACCCAGCCTAAACTGAATTAATTTTTTCGATATAGTTTACTGGCAATTCAGAGGGTCAGCCCAATATGTACCCAAACAAGAATGTCAGTCCTAGGTAAAATTACTACCTTACCAAACCTATGCGAACCTTAGGCACTACCTAACTAAACTACAATAATCCTGTAAGATAAAATAAAATAATTTAGGTATGTTATAAGTACAAGAGGTCACTGAGGCGAATGAAATATACGTCGTTGAGTTAATAATCTTGTTTAAAATTCAGAAAAATCGAGCATCAAAGTTTTTCAACGTGGAAAGACTACTTACAATAACTGCTGATGGTCGTCCGCTTGGTAGGTGGTGTGGGAGGATTGTTACTTTGTCTATCAATGATGAGCTGCGTTTCACATCCTTTGAACTCACAAGCTTAGACAGGTAGACAGTTTGTTGGTGGAAATTGTCTATAGCCCACAACTTGTCCAAAATAACCTTAATCGTGTTCATGCCATTATTGAAGCAGCCACAAGAACCTGCAGGCCACAACAAGGGCAGCAACTAATGAACGTCTCACTTGTTTCTTTCTTTACTGTCACATTAAACTCTCCACAGTCCTCCTATGGTTCCGTAAATATCCAGACACCACTGGCTGATTATCAATAACTGATTAACTCATTTATTTATGAATATTAAGCACAAAATACACCAGAGAAGAATAATTATTGTCGCTGGAAAAGTTATAAACATTAACGCACTTGACAGAGGATCACACTGGGTGCTCATTGGCTGGTGGAGTTAAGGCTACGTTGATGGCCGCTGGTGTGAGGGACACTCCGACCCCTCCGTCACTCTTTTACTCGTAATTTTGGTGGACTTCTACCGTCACGGGTCGGATACTTAAAATTATTTACAGTATTATCTTCCAGCTGATTTTGTAAGTCGGCCCAGGAGGTTGTAAGAACTCAAAACAAAATACACGCTATCATGTGACGGAATAAACCCCGACATAGCGCTTTTATATATCAATTAAAACTGTAATGTTTAAGCGGGCAAGATGGAGTTCATCAAGGTACTCGTATATCTAAATGTTCGAGTTTTGTGACGTGAAATGAAGAACCGAGCCCATTTGGAACCTCACATGTGTGTTAAATAATTATTGAGGTACTACGTATATCCTCGATGTTAAGTTTTTAATCTATTAGAGGAACTAGACATCTTTTTAAAGCGGAGAACAAAGAAGTCACCGTCTACCGACTCACCTAACTGTCAGTAAAATTTATACGTTACATATTTTTATTATAAATTGTGCTACTAGTTTCTTAATCGTTGTGTAGCGTATCATACTGTTTTATTATAAATTATACATATTTTTTTCATTTTAAACTATTTGTTTATAAAACTGGTCCAGATATCTTTAGCTTGTGATTGGTCGGTATGTCTCAAAAGCGTAACTATGATTGGCCAACTAGCTCGCATGAAGACTCACTCTACAATGTTTAACTTCCAGTAAAAATGACTTAACAACATCGCAAATTAGTTTTGAGTACGGGAGTTTACAATATTGTTAGCAGTTTGTAAGTCTGAATACCTTAAGTCGGTTACAAGATCAAGTGAAAGCAGCTCGCTTCTCACATAAAGCCTCATATTCAGCTGGCGACACAGCGTCCGCCAATTGAAGCTGAAAGAAATGGAAGAATTTATGCCACAAAACGTATTGATAATACATTTGTAGTTTATTTCATTAGATAATAAAGCAATAATATATTATGGTGAAATATTCTACAGTATGTAGTGAAGGATTGCAAACTTGTCTAGATTATAACTGATGTTTTTGTAGAACACTGATAAATTTATAATATTATTGATAGACCTTAATGATAATTTAATTTAATCGCTCTGTTCCATTTAAGACGTCGTTTACCATCATAAGTCAAGCAAATTATCCCTAAAGGTAGGTTAGATTAGATTAGGTTTTGTGAAGTTATTTATGGCGAGTCAGAAGTTTCCATAAAAGAGAAATGCATAGAAGTTATCGCTAATAGTCAATTATCTTGTTTACAACGGGCGGAAACCACGAGCGCTCTTATTAACACTCGGCGAGTCTGGAAACTACGTAAAGTACCAGGTAATGCTAGATTATATAAATTATCGATCATAAAATTAACCAACCTAACCTAACCTAATCTAACCTAACCTAACCTTTTTAGATGACATAATGTAACAGTAATCGGTACTTCGGGAAGTTTACAATTTCGCCAAGTGTAACATAAAGGCACTTATGATTTTACCCCGTTTGTTTTTATAAGTAGTAGTAGTATAGTCATTAAGTTCTTCCTGTCTAGTTAAACACCTTGACAGTCCGTTTTATTTCACCTACAGCTTCTCATCCGCCATCTCAGTAGGGGAGACTCAAGGCAGCCTACGGTACACAGAGCACTTGATCAGACTGAGGGCTATGGCAGAGGCGGTGGACGAGGAGGAGGTGCTGAGGACTTCCTGCATGATGAAGAGGCCCCACTGTCGAGGCTTCCTGACCTGCCACGCCTGGAGGTACCGCTGGTTTGCTCTTAACCGAAGGAATCTCATTTACTACGACGGAGACAAGATGGTGAGATTGCTTAAAGGCTCTACTGGTTGTTTGTGTGATTGGCGGTAGACTCTTGCTAATTGGACAACCCTTCTCCCTATTTGGTGAAGCTAGGTGAGGTTAGGTTAGGTTAGGTTATACCTCACACTGTGTAATGACGTCTCTATCCGTCTATCTGTCTGTTTATAACTTTATACATTTATTCATCTACCCATCTAGCTATCGATACAAATACCTCAATCTATTAATCTATTTTACTTCTTTTATCTATCTATCTATCTATCTTAATGTCTCTCTCTCTCACTTTTGGTTCCGCTATCTCTACTCTTTTTTTTTCTCTCGTCTCGTATAATTATGACCAAGGAAAATTAAATCTGAACGTGTAATGAATTTAGTCCTCAAGGGAAAGAATTTTGTTTTCTTCCCTAATCGTAAGCTGTGCGGCACGTGTTTTGTTTTCCTTAATTGTGGTGTGGGGCGTAGCTAGCTGTGTGTGTGTTGAGTTTTTTTATTGTTGCTGCTGTTGTTATGCTAATTAGGAGTGAGAAAATACATTTATCTAAACGTGAAAATAATGTTTGTGTAGTTTCTTTCTTTCTCTTTGTCTCTCTTTCATTGGTATTGTCTTTCACTATCACAAAGTTATATTTCTCTCTCTCTCTCATCTCCTCCTCCTCCTCCTCCTCCTCTACCTTTCATTGTACTTAACTTGTCTAGCTCTGCACTCTGACCTAACCTAACCATAGGATATTATGATAAGGAAAGAGATGAAAAAACGGTGACATTTGTACATATAGTGAAACCTTGATTTAACGGACTATATTGTGAGGAAAGTTCGTTATACTGAGTGTTCGTTATATGTGAAACCTCTATCTAAAGGACTATATAAAGGTGAATGTCCGTTATATTCGAGGGTTCGTTATATGTGAAACCTCAAATCTAAAGGACAATATGAGAAAGAAGTATTGTCCGTTATATGGAGGTTTTACAGTATATGAAGGTTCCTGTCGTTAAATACCACTGTCCGGGTGCCTAGGGGTGATGTGTGTGTGTGTGTGTGTGTGTGTGTGTGTGTGTGTGTGTTGTGTGTGTGTGTGTGTGTGTGTGTGTGTGTGTGTGTGTGTGTGTGTGTGTGTGTGTGTCCATCCGTCTGGGCTTCCGGGAGATTCCAATACAAACACACGAACAGATAAGCATAAGACAAATTTCAAGTTATAAATAAATACCTGACTTGACAATTTAAGTATATGGTGGTTGTAGTATAGTACCGGCAATTAAGTGTTTCCTCTTTGTTTACACCAATGGTTTGTGAGTGGGGGGGGTTAGGTCAGGTTAGGTAGAGGAAAAGGAAGTGTAGTGACGTCAATGTTCCAGGTTATGCGTAATATTGCGTACCTGTTGGTTAAATACACACACACACACACACACACACACACACACACACACACACACACACACACACACACACACATAAAATAGTAATAAAGAAGAACACCTGACAATTGGTGCTTTATGTGGTCTTGTTCCCTCACTACTCTATTTTTATCATTCCCTCCTTACTACCTATTTTCCCCCATTTCCTCCACACCCTCTTTTCCTCTATCATCATCCACCCCTCATCATCCCTATTCCCCTCACCCACCACAAACAAACCCAAGGGAAATTCTCATGAAAAAGTTATATATACTGTAAACACCATGTGAGTTGTTTACCATTTGATTTATTGTTTGTACCCCACCTTCAGATCGGCCCGAAGAGGGAGAGGCGACGGGTGGAACTCTCTCGGGTGGTGTGGGTTGAGTTCGTCGACACCAGCGAGTTCGGCAGGAGGAATGTGTTTCAGGTGTGTTGTAAAGTCAACGATAATCAGAGGTTTATCATCTACGTGGCTGCTGAAACCGACAACGAGAGAACGCAGTGGCTGTCAGATCTACGGAAATGTGAGTTTGTGGGGTTTTGTGTGGATGGTGGGTGGTGGGATTTGTGGGTGTGTGGGGTTGGGTGGGGGTTGGGTGGGTGTGTGGGGGTTGGGTGGGGGGTGTTAAAGATGTGTTTTGTTTCTCTCTTTCTCCTCATTAATACCAAGCAAGCATCTGTACCATTCTACTACTACCACCACTACCACTAATACTATTACTACAACAAGCACTACTACTACTACTACTACTGCTACAACTACTATTAACCCCACTCTTATACCCCCTCAGTGATAGCCGAGAACCAGGTGTTAAGTATGACCTACCACCCCAACACCTTTATGAAGACACGAGGTCACTGGGGGTGCTGCTTTAAGAGGAAGAAAGACCTACCGTGTACAGAGATTACCTGGACACCTGCCGAGCTTAACAACAATCCCTCAGGTGAGTTAATGAGTACTGGAGGGAGAGTCAGAGGTAGAGAGAATCATGTAATAGAGAAAGAGAGTGATAGTTTATAAAGAGAGCGAGAGAGAGAGAGAGGGGGCAATACAGATATACAGAACGCTATACAGTGAGACAGAGAGAGAGAGAGAGAGAGAGATAAAGCGATGCAGTGATACTCTCCCCCCCTCCTCCACACACACACACACACACTACTGCAAAAAACCCTAACCTCTAATGCTGTGTTTCTGTATTCTCTTCAGCAGATAACGGCCGCTTACCCCAACAGGAGACCCCAGTGAACACCGCAGACGAAGGGCAAGGCAGCATACAGTCCGAGGTAATTTACTGGATTAAAGATTGTATGTGGAGGGGGGGGGAGGAGAGGGACACGCTGGTAGTGGGACATTTCGTATTGGGCTCATTGCTAGCGGTGGGACATCAGTGTTAGGACAATAGCACCGGGGGCATTACTTGTGGTGGGACATCAGGACCGGAACATTAGCAGTGGGGGGGAACATCAGTGTTAGGACATTGGCATTTGGACATTACTAGTGGGGAGACAGCAAGACAGGGAAAGGGTAGTATTTGCCCAAAACGCGTATCACCACTCTGCTGATAGCACACCAAAAAAAGACTATTTGATTAGAACACAAAAATGGTTAATGAACGGTGTGAGCCTCTCTCTCTCTCTCTCTCATAGACTAAGTGATCAAATCGAGGTCCGTATTTAAGGTCTGTCGTTGAGGTCAGTAGGTAAAGTATACATAGTTAAGAGCCTCCTATTTTGTGACCTTTTCTGACCACCGATGACTTAGCGTGACATTTTCTAACCACTGATGACTTAGGATGACCTCTAATCACCTATGATGACTTAAGATGACCTCTCATCACCTCTGTTGACTTCGGATGATACTTTCTGACCTCTGATGACTTAGAATGAACTCAATTCACCTCTGATGACTGTGGATTAACTCTTGCTGACCTCTAATCACCTTGTTTTCATTACAGAATACAAACAGTGACTTTGTAGAACCTCGCACTCCAGAATCCCAGGTAATTAGTGTTACAGAGGTGTTACCGTATGTGTTAGTGTTACAGAGGTGTTACCGTATGTGTTAGTGTTACAGAGGTGTTACCGTATGTGTTAGTGTTACAGAGGTGTTACCGTATCTGTTAGTGTTATACAGTTGTTGTTGTTAGATTTTCGATGATGTTTTTGTCTATGTTATTTTGTTATTTTTGTTATTCTGATGTTATTTTTATGTTATTTCTGATGTTATTGGTCTTATTTTGTTATTGTTGATAAAGGAAGACGAGATCATGGAAGCACTTTATGACTTCGATGGAGTTAATACAGTGGACCTGACATTACACAAGGTGAGTCGAGTGTACAGGTGTGTGCTGGATGAGTCTAGTGTACAGGTGTGTGCTGGATGAGTCTAGTGTACAGGTGTGTGCTGGATGAGTCTAGTGTACAGGTGTGTGCTGGATGAGTCTAGTGTACAGGTGTGTGCTGGATGAGTCTAGTGTACAGGTGTGTGCTGGGTGAGTCGAGTGTACAGGTGTGTGCTGGATGAGTCTAGTGTACAGGTGTGTGCTGGATGAGTCTAGTGTACAGGTGTGTGCTGGATGAGTCTAGTGTACAGGTGTGTGCTGGGTGAGTCTAGTGTACAGGTGTGTGCTGGGTGAGTCGAGTGTCTAGTCAGTGTACAGGTGTGTGCTGGGTGAGTCGAGTGTACAGGTGTGTGCTGGATGAGTCTAGTGTACAGGTGTGTGCTGGATGAGTCTAGTGTACTGGTGTGTGCTGGATGAGTCTAGTGTACAGGTGTGTGCTGGGTGAGTCTAGTGTACAGGTGTGTGCTGGATGAGTCTAGTGTACAGGTGTGTGCTGGATGAGTCTAGCGTACAGGTGTGTGTGTGTGCTGGGTGTTGTTAATTAATTTTTAGTTGGTAAAATAAGTTAATAACAGGTTGAATAGGTTAATTACAGGTAAAAAGGAGTTAATAACAGGTTAATTAGCTTGGTATATTTCTCACCTGCAGTACGATGAATTGTTGGTGGTAGAGAAGATTAATGAGAATTGGTGGAGGCTGAAGAACGTCCATACTGAGTGAGTAATTCATCCAACTAATTCGTCAACTCATCCAACTAATTCGTCAACTCACACCAACTAATTCGTCAACTCATCCAACTAATTCGTCAACTCATCCAACTAATTCGTCAACTCACACCAACTAATTCGTCAACTCATCCAACTAATTCGTCAACTCATCCATCTCCCTCCCTCCCTCCTTCACTCCAGGAATTCATCACAAACTCCCTATGAAAAGTGATAAATGAACAAAAAAAAATTAAATAAATCTTCTCTCTCTCTCTCTCTCTGTCTCTCTCTCTCTCTCTCTCTCTCTCTCTCTGTTTTAATGTGTATTATCTCTCTTTTTCTCTCACTCACTAGGGAGGAGGGAGAAGCACCTAGCAATTTCGTAGCGCCCCGGGATCACAGCTACCTCAACAACTACGAGTAAGTGTGGTCGAGTATGGTCCATCTGGTCGGGTGTGGTCGATCTGGTCTAGTATGGAAGATGGGTCGAGTATGGCAGATGAGTAAGGTAAAAGAGTCGAATAAAATATAGCCTTTATGGGACTAGCACAGTAGACTATAGCACAATTATACCATATAACGTTATACTGTCTTCATAATATAACCCTTAGACATATTATAACTTGCTATAAACATATTATGAAGGGTATAGTGGAATTATATCACCTGAGAAAATGGTGTTCTTAATTACACAGATTAGGTTAGGTTAAATTAGGTTAGGATTAGGTTAGGTTAGGTTAGGTTAGGATTAGGTTAGGTTAGGTTAGATTAGGTTAGGTTAGATTAGGTTAGGATTAGGGTGTTTAAACTTAAGAGAGATAGGTATCTAATCTTTCTTATCTCGACTCTCACAACAGATGGTATTTGGGAACGGCAAAGAGGCAGGAGGCTGAGGATCTACTGCTGGAACAAGGGAGCGAGGGTGCCTTCTACGTGAGGAAGTCCAGAACTAGACCTGGAATATATACTCTATCCATCTACAGTAAAACGTGAGTGGGAGGGAGAGAGGGTTAGTTTGTACACCCCTCTCCATTTATAGTAGAAAGTGAGAGGGAGGGGAGAGAGGGTTAGTTAATGCATCATCTTCATCTACAGTAAAACGTGAGTGGGAGGGAGAGAGGGTTAGTTTGTACACCCCTCTCCATTTATAGTAGAAAGTGAGAGGGAGGGAAAGGTTCGGTTAATTTACATAAGGTTCGGCTAGTTCATGTTAGATTTGATTAGGGTAGGTTAGGACAGGTCAGATTAGATTAAGTGTGGTTAATTTATAATAGATCAAGTTAGGTTAAGGTTTTTAATCATATGAAATAAAATTGGGGGTTAATTAATTACCACATGATCCAATAATGTAAACATCAATCACCTGTAAGATCCTGTGTTTACTAAGAGACTGTGGTGATAGTCTTCCCGAAGGTGAAATGCCGATAAGACACTACCACATCAGGAAGGACGCGGATGGCTTGTACTACGTGTCGCAGTCGGTCAAGTGTCGCACCATTCCCAAGTTGATTGAGGATCACCAGCACAATCCAGCTATGTTGTGTGCCAGGCTGAAGCACAGCGACAACGACCGCTTGACTTCCATGGGTGAGTTTCTGTACCTAACCTAACTTTAACCTCACCTAACCTAACCTTAATCTCACCTAACCTAACTTTAACCTAACCTAACCTTAACCTCACCTAACCTAAACCTCACCTAACTTAACTTTAACCTCGCCTAACCTTACAATGATAGCAGGCTAAGTAGATTATATGGAACCTGACTTGAAATTTATTTTATACTCAACGTTTATGTTCTTTTAGAGAGATGGGAGATCGAACCGTCAGACTTGAGGCTTTTAGAGGTCGTGTCGAATGGCCCTACCTGTGTGTTGAGGCGAGGTCGAGTGCAGTGTCTTGACGTCATCGTTAAGATCATGATTCCTGCGGCGGTGACTGTAGAAGACTTCATGGAGGAGGCCCGGCTGATGACGTGAGTACCTCTGTGTGTGTCTCCGTCTTTCATAATGAGGATCATCTATTAGTGGTGTTCTGTATAAGGAGGAGAGGGAGAGTGAAAGAGAGAGAGAGAGTGTGTGAAAGAGAGAGAGTGTGTGAAAGAGAGAGAGAGAGACAATTCTAACGTAAAACATTCCTGTAACAGAAACCTCAAACACCCGAATATAGTGGAGCTCTTGGGTGTGTGTTCTCACCTGCCGGAGCCTTACATCGTGACGGAGTGTATGAAGGGCGGCTGCCTCCTCTACCACCTCCGTAACAACGAGAACGCCCTTCTCAACAATGTCGACGTCCTCTTCAGAATGTGTGCTCAGGTACATCCCATGTCTTAATTGTTCTCGGGCAGGTGTGCTCAGGTAAAGCTCATGTTCTGGTTGTGCTCACCTACACCATGTCTTAATTGTTCTCGGACAGTGGTACTCAGGTAAAACCATCGTCCTAGTTCTGTACAGGTTTTGAGAAAAATTCACTCTGATCAGGTGCTTTCCAGTCTTGTTGCAGGTATACTGTTGTCTATTACAGGTGTTCAACTGGTTGTAGGTTTATTGTTTATTTACAGGTGTCTTAACTCTCTACAGGTGTGCATTATTTGATGTTGAGCTTTCTACAGGTGTGTTTCTCTCACAGGTGTGTTCTGGACTAGCGTATCTTGAGTCACGTAAGCTGATCCACCGTGATCTGGCCGCCCGCACCTGTTTCGTAGGAGCCGATGACGTTATTAAAGTGGGGAACTTCGGCTTGTGTAGGTAAGTGTCTCGTGCAGGTGTAATTGTCTTTTGCAGGTACAATCACGGGTACAGATATACGTACAATAACACGCATAGGTACAGGTACAGTCATTTAAGCGAGATAGACAAATAAACAGAGACAGAAACAGACAGACGGACCACTGACCCGCCCTCTCACCTTTTTCTCTCACACACACAGGTACGTAATCAACGATCTCTACGTGGGGAAGATAGAAAAAAACATAGCCTTCAAATGGGCTGCACCGGAAGTCTTGTATCGCTCGAACTTCTCCTCTAAGTCTGACGTGTGGGCCTTCGGAGTGCTGATGTGGGAGGTGTTCTCGTGCGGCAGGATCCCCTACGGCAGGATGAATAACCAACAGATCATTGACTTTCTGGAGGCGGGACAGATCCTAGAGAAGCCTCGATTCTGCCTCAATGAGGTCTACCAGGTGTGTTGTGTTGTGGATTGTGTTTTGTGTTTTGTTGTGTTTTGTTTGTGTTGTGTAGTGTTTTGTGTTGTGTATGTGTTGTTGTGTAGTGTTTTGTGTTGTGTATGTGTTGTTGTGTAGTGTTTTGTGTATGTGTTGTTGTGTAGTGTTTTGTGTAGTGTTTTGTGCATGTGTTGTTGTGTAGTGTTTTGTGTCGTGTATGTGTTGTTGTGTTGTGGGAGATATGTTGTTTATGTTATGTATTGTGGCATCCTTAGCGTGACTCCTGAAGTGTTGACGTCGTTGTCTCCCTCCTACAGTTAATGACTCAGTGCTGGACTCGGGACATCCATCAACGCCCTTCCTTCAAGTCGCTCCTCACCTACTTCCAGCCTTCAGGATAATGGACGGAAGGCGTGAGTGTAACTGTCTACCTACACCCAGCACCTGTGTCCTGTATACACCCAGTACCTGTGTCCTGTATACAACCCAGCACCTGTAGCAGTGTTCACCTGTAGCAATGTTCACCCAGCACCTGTAGCAATGTTCACCCAGCACCTGTAGCAATGTTCACCCAGCACCTGTAGCAATGTTCACCCAGCACCTGTAGCAATGTTCACCCAGCACCTGTAGCAATGTTCACACAGCACCTGAAGCAGTATTCACCCAGCACCTGAAGCAGTATTCACCCAGCACCTGAAGCAGTGTACCTGGCCCATACATACCCTGCCTGGGACACACCTCGCATTATCTGCATGTGTCAGGCTGGGTGTCAGACCTTCATCTACTAACCTGTTCACCTGAGTAATTCGTTTTACCTGAGTAACACGAGTTTGGGGGACATAATGGAGATGATTTTTATAGTGGATAAGAACAGCGACTCGATAGGCGGTGTGTGAGAGGAAGCTGGTGACACACTAGGACTGCCTGTCTCCGTCTGCTACTTATAAGTACTGTAGTGGTGATGAAATTGTGTTATAAGTACTGTAGTGATGGTGAAAATTTATATATAAATGTTCAGATGATGGTGAGAATGTAAGTTACTGAAGTGATGATAAAACTGCATCTCAAAAAGTACCTAAAAGTAATAGTTAAGTTTACGTGTGAAATTTACGTAATGGATTCATAGAAAACTACACTGCTTATAGAGGAATAACTATAGTATATAAGGAAGAGCTGAATGCGGTACTATATATTGTATAGCTCTGTCGTAAATGTGATATTAATATACCTTAATTTCTAATCTTTGAAGATTATGTATTACAATTTGTATATAGCCCATGTAAGTTGAAAGAGATTTTTTAGTGGCAGTACAAACAGAAGGCGGAAAGGTTCATAGGTCCATTCGTCTGGTGTGGGTTACCAAATGGGTCGTGTGATGTGACTGTGTGTTTAAGTAGAACGTCAAGACGGTGCTTAACTCTCATGTGATCCGTCTTCAAAGTAAACGTTGTTCTTTATCACTCTAACAAGGTCATTTTCGTCGTCATATAAGTCATCGTCGTTGTTGATGTTGTTTGGGTTCATTAAGTGTAAATCGGTAACTGTAAACAGACGAGAATGTGTATTTATTCCTAGTTCACTTGCTTAATCTTATTACAGAACGTCAACCAACATCAGCAATTGTAACATCTTCCAGTGTTTACTCAGTAGTTGAGGTAGTTGTGGATGACCAGGCTTTGTGTACCAGTGTCATGGTCACGTTGACTGCTGATCTATTTAACCAATGATTCTTATTAAACTCCACGACCGCAAAACATGAGTGAGTTAGCGACCCCTGAGAAGACGTGTTTTTCCCCATAGACGCTACACTTGTGTTCCCTCCCAGAGTCCCGCCTTTGTGAAGACAGTTATCAATGCGTTGTTATTCCACTTTCTCAATCTTGAATTAGTCTGTGTAATCAACTCAAGTAATTCGCCAGACCTTTGTCAACTGAGGGTCATCTTTGAATGATTAACAGTTAGTTTGTTTGTAATTATTGTCATTGCGTAAGTAGCGATCACTGGCAACTCGGGGGTATTTATACCCGTGCATCGCCAGGGAAATCGTGGGGCGCTTGTGGTAGAAGCAGTACCGCTCTTGCCTCGTAAGCAAGATGTCACGGGTTCGATTCCCGGGCTAGCAGAAGTTGTTTGAACACTCTTCCTAGCCCCCTTGGTCCCTGTTCACCTAGCAGTAAAGTAGGTACCCGTTGTAAATCGAAAGATTGCGAATTCGTATTCAGGGAAAGTTGTTGGAGCTTCTAAACTTGAACTGACACAATCCGGAGGAGTAGTGACCCTAGGATCACACACCCAACACAGACAAAACCAAATACGTGCGCTATGCGCTAACCAAATAAACGCAGTCGTGTAAAGCCACGGCACTATCTCTCCCACTACAATTCCCTTCCTAACCTCCTGCTCCTTCCTCTGTCATCTTCCCCGCTCTGCCTTTCGCTACCAACAACTTTTGGAGCTTCTAAACTTGAAAACTGGAAAGCGTTCCCTGACGCTGCTCCAATGTTACTCCAGGTATGTTTATGTGTAGCCATTCAGTTAATTCAGTCAATTGTAGTGAATATCAGTGTTCATCAGTGTTCATGCTTTGACAGTTGAATTGTCATTCACCCAGTGTAAGAGGTAATATAACGTAAATACGTCTGTCGTCTAGACAAGAGAGTTGTTTGTGTTGTCATGCTTCCCAGTCCGTTCCCTGAAGCTGCTCCAATGTTTCTCCAGATCCCATTGTGATTCTTGCATCGCTCAACCATTCAACAACTGCCCCGGATGTAATAGATACCCAGGAGGGATCATATATGAGACGATGGCACCGAGGCGGCCTGATTAATGTGCTTCACTGCCTCGTTGGGCCAGACCCCAGACTCTCCATGTGTCTGGCTACTACCGACCACACAACCGTCGTGAGCCCTAGTGTTCTACCCTGGGTTACTCCTTGGAAGTATATGTCCACAGATAGGGTTGTAACATGTATGTTAAGGATAATTAGTTGGAAATAATTATCCCATGTTGGGTAGTGGACCCCTGTATATGCTAGTGTCACTATTAACGAGTATGTTGAGTAAAGTAATCTACAATGAATGCCATGTACTATGTATTGTGAGTAGGGCCAAGGAACTGGTTCTATTATGCCAGGTAATGTAACACCAGTAATGTTGTGTGCATTAAGAATGTAAGATCTGAGTAATTACTGTTGAGTAAAGAAATAAGAAAATAAGTAAATAAGAAAATAAGTAAAGAAGAAAGTACTGAGTTTGCAATAAGCCCAGGAGTTGAGCTTGGTAGTTATATGATTAATACTATATCTTTTCCCCTTTGATTTCATATTAATAAATTTGTTCTTAGAGTACTTTAGGTGTATTCATTTCGCCCACAGTATTTTACCTGAATTTCCGTCCAAGTGACTTGATACCAGAATTACCATACCCATGTGCCTAGACCCTCGACCATGCTACCAAAAGAATGTCCATGCTACCAAAAGAATAGGTGACAGAACTAAGAGAAGTGAGAAATATGAGGTGTGGAAAACACGCGCCCTCACACCAGCAGCAGTACTAGTATAGACTCAGTTACACAATAACTACTTACTTTGTTGTCACTCAGAAAAGAGTATTACGATCATCCAGCTATGATGCAATGTTATGAGTTATTAAGGATGTCACCTTCATTGGTGAGCTCTGAGGTGACTTGAGAGGCCGATACGGGACCGGCAGGGCCGTCCACAGATGTTGCACGTGTGGTGGGCTACATCTAGTGCGGGAGGGGCGGCGGCCGCGTCTTTCCGGCGTTGGCGCTTGTCTGCCTTGGTATGCAGTCGGGTTAACTCGAAAGTATTGACACCTTCTCGCGTGGTGCTCCTCCAAGCGTAACGATGTGGAGTGATCGTCTCCCAGGTGAGGGGGTCGATATGACTTACTGTGACTCGTGAGGTGAGAGTAGAGTATTTTGTTTGTGCTTTATCCATTATGTGTACTGTAGATATGTGTCTGTTTTGTTGTTTGAACGTGTACGTACAATAAATGTCCTGAAATTAAACAACCGAGGTATTTTATTCATGTATAAACTGACACCAAACAAAAACATATCTGTGTTAATTAGTTTATTTCATTGTTAATTTGTCCCTGTAATAAAAATTAATTAATTTTAGCTCTCTATACAAAATATTCTTCAGGAAACTAAAATCGTAAGTACATTATTTCTACGATAAAGGAGTTAATAAAACAACAAGACTACATTTAACGGTGAATTTTATTACAAAACTGTGTACATAAATAGGGTTTTAGAGCCTGCGAGAGGGAGGGGGGGGGGAGGCCTTGGTGACGGTCGACGTGGCAACACTGTCTTGGGGCCTTCACTAGGTACCACAGGTTATATTTCTGCGTTGTTTTTTTTTTTGCTCAGACTTGGTAACATTTGTAATTACAGGTTTACAATTTTTGGTTTAATGTATTAATAACAAGATCATGTGTGGCAGAAGAGTAGTTTAAAAGAGAGTTGTTGTGTTTTACCGACTTTACAAAGAAATCAACGTTAGGTTCGGTTGATTAATGGCTAGTACTGAAAGCGTTGATGTTGTGGTAATATTTCAGAACGTTGCTGTCCGATATTTAGTCAACTTTCTATTGTGATGTATTTTCTAATTTATTTATTACTAGGATTTTATTTTTATTTTTTATTTTTTAGAACGAGCTTTGATGTATGAGAAGTGTGGTTTATTTTTTTTTTTCAGGGAATTCATATATTTCTTGAGAACATTCGTGGTCTTTTTGAGAACGAGTTTCATCATTAAACTTGAGAACATTGATAACTTTCTTAAATAAATTGGTATTAGTGTTTTGTTTAGATTGTAGTTTCGTTTAGAGAACGCAGTGTATTCTTTTTTACAGCACTCGCTTCCATTTTTTAGAACACCTGAGTATTTTTTTTCGTTGATTGTGGCAATATTTATAAAAACATAATTTCTCATTTGGGTAAAATTTCTGTGTCTTTGAGATCGTTATGGTGGCATTTTGAGAACATTTCTAGAATTTCAAGATCGTTAGCATCATTTTTGAGACCGCTAGCTTCATTTGTGAGACTGGCTCGAGTCTAAGAAACTTCGTCCATCCCAGAGCACTGAGGGCCTTGATACAAACAACTACAGCAGCTGCTACAGAATCATTGTGACCTGACACCTCTGACCTGATAACTACCAAGATCTACAAACATCTCTCTCTACCGGTAAAAGGTATTTGGGTGAAATTCTATCGTAATGCTCAAGAGTAGAACTGAGGTTGTTGACTTGTGTAATATGATGTTCTAATGCAATGCCTAGATGAGTACTGCAGTGATTAGTTTGTGTGTGAATTTTTATCGCATTGCCCAGCGAAGAACGGCATTTATTGTTTGGAAAAGGTTGTATCTACGAGCGAACTGACAGACGGACAGATAGACAGACGGACAAGTATGACATCTACTTCCCCCCAATGTGTCTATTAGATCAGGTAAATAAATAATAAGGGTGTTATTGCTTTAAAACACTATCACATCTACCCAGATGGTGAGTAAGTCGTTCCTTCACTGGAGATTCAAAACCTTCCTCGGATCCAACTAGTACATTATTCTCCTAGGTTCGTACATCAGACGAACCAACGCCAGCACAGGTAGTTAAACATTCCTTGTGGCTGTTCACCTCTTATCAGCAAAGGTTTATGTTGATTTAGACAAGAGAACACTTTTGTCTAATGTGCCTGAGGTGGCTTAAGTTTTTCACCAGCTTAAACAAATCTTCCTTCCTGTTATTAACTTCCATGAAATACGACGTACATAAAATCATTCACAAAAGAAAAGTCGACGAAGAATATACCGAGATAAGATAATACTGTTTGCTACTGATACACACACACTTATCTGGTCCTTAACTGAACCTCTTAGGCGACATTGTCCTTTTCACCACTACCAATAACGTGTTACGGAATAAGAGTCATCCGTCGTGTGAGGTACAGGTTGTGTTGATGGTAATGTTCTCTATTGTCCACCGAATATTCAATAACCTCTCTGTGTCCGCCACCTTCCAGTATACCTCCTTCACCCCTCTCGTGATACACACAGTCTCCCTCCTTCCATCTTACACATCAACAAACACGTCATTTGTCTTGTTGCCGCACGACGATCACAAACCCAACTTAACTCTGTGTTTAGATTTATTTCATCAACTGCGGCCTTTATTTTTTGTTTTAATATCTTGATCTTGTATATAATATCCATTAATGTGATCTTGAAGGTCACGGAGTTATTTCATAATTATGTCACTGAGCAAAAGGTGTTGTGGTTCCCTGTGGTACACGTTGAGACCTTATGGGTGGAAACTGAGCTTCCGTTCAATTAACAATGAAGATATAACTGTTTCATGCATTTTTTTTTGTACATGGTGAAGAAGCATTCTCAATTTGACATAGAGAAGGCAATTAATTTATAGCTTACATCTATGAAATCATATATATATATATATATATATATATATATATATATATATATATATATATATATATATATATATATATATATATATATATATATATATATATATATATATATATATATATATATATATACTGTATATCACATCATCTAGTTGGCCACCAGAAGCTGATGAGATGTCTTTGCATCCGGTTCCCCGCCGTCTTCGTCACTTCCAGCACCGCTCCCCTCGTCCTCTGGCCCTGATACATTGAATCTCACGACGTTGGTTGACAGCGACCCCGTCACCGTGACCTCCTCTGGCACCTTCAGAAGTGGCTTTTCAGTAGTAACACTTTCCTTCGACGTCTTCCTCGTGACCTCTTCCGAACCCTTCATCTCCTCCGTCGTGGACGGGTCATCGTTGACGACTCTTTTCTCCTTGTTTTGATCGACTGTGATTCCCATCATGGTAGTGTGAACGAGGTCCCTCAAGGTTAGCATCTCCCTCGATTCTTGGCTCCCTAGAGGCTGTGCTGATTCACTCCTAGTCTCGGTGTCGTCTCCAGCAGCATCGGACGAGGCATTGTCGTGGTCGTTGTCGTGATCTGATTTGTTTGTTCCTGCAGCGTCGTCCAGAGAATCATCATCCTCATTATTATTCTCGTCTCTTGTTTCTCCTTCGTCTTCATCATCAGAGTTATGTGTTGGTCCAACCTTTAGCTCGCTGTTCTTCTCGGATTCTGAAACCTCTGATGTGGTTTTCAAAGCAAAAGAGAATTCACTCTCAGTTTCGGTGTTTGGTTTGGTACTGTGTTGTTCGTCTTCTGTTTCGGATTTAGATTCGAGTTCTGGCTCGTCTTCTGCTTCGGGTGTTGATTCAGGTTCCGGTTCGTCTTCGGCTTCGGGTGTTGATTCAGGTTCCGGTTCGTCTTCTGCTTCGGCTTTAGATTCGATTTCCGGTTCGTCTACTGCTTCGGGTGTTGATTCAGGTTCCGGTTCGTCTTCTGCTTCGGATTTAGATTCGATTTCCGGTTCGTCTTCGACTTCGGGTGTTGATTCAGGTTCCGATTCGTCTTCGGCTTCGGGTGTTGATTCAGGTTCCGGTTCGTCTTCTGCTTCGTGATTAGACTTGGGTTCTCTATCGGGCAATGATTCAGGTCCTGCTACAAGGTGATCAGTAGGTTCTGGTTCAAGGTGTGACTCAGATACTGACTCAGATTCTGCTTCATGTTCAGGTTCGGGTTCAGACTCGGGTTCTACTTCAGAATGAGCCTTGACTTCCCTTTTAGGGTGAGATTCGAATTCTGTCAGGGGTTCTACTTCATGTTCCGACTCTGATTCTGCTTTAGCTTCTGCCTGGGGTTCGGATCCTGGTTCGTTGTTCGATTCGGCCGTGGAAATTGTTGTTTGAGCACTGTTTGGTTCTTCCTCTGGTTCGGTCGTTGGTTCTCCTTCATGTTCAAGGCTTGATTGGTCTTCAGCTTGAGGTCTTCGTTCCATCTTATGCTCAGTCTTAGGCTTCATGACTGCTTTCCTGGTCTTATTGTCACACTTTCGCCGTTTCGTGTCAGATTCAATTTGTAGTTGACCTTCGGGTTTGGATTTTGGTTCTGATTCTGGTTCTATTTCAGGGTTAGACTCTTGTTCGGCATCGGCATCAGACTTCGGTGGTTCAGTTTCAGTTTCGGATTCTGATTCAGTTTCGGGTTCAGACCCTGATTTGCCATCGGGTTTAGACTCGGTCTCATATTTAAATTCCGGCTCTGCATTGGCTTCGTGACCTGAGTTGGCTTCATCATTCATCCGAAGTTCTGTTTTTGGTTCAGACTCTAATTCTGATTTTGGTTCGTTCTTTTTATCCTCATCCTCTTCCTCCTCCTTCTCCTCCCCCTCTTCTCCATTTCCCAACTTTATTTCTGATTCAGGGTCGGATTGTGGTTTGGTTTCGGTTTCACCTTCGGGTTCATTTTTCTCATCAAACGATTCAGAGGATTTGGGTGCTGAAGATTTCCTGACGGTAATTTCCTCTTTCTTTGGTGCATTGGGATCAAGACCCTCAATCAGAGTGACTTCAGCATCCATTTCGAAACCCGGATTATCTGCGTCGTGATCATCAGCTAACGCTCTATCAGACTCAGCTTCAAATTCTTCTGAAGTTTCGCCGCTGCCATGTTCGACTTCGGCTTCGTGAACCTCAACATTCGGCGTCTCTGGGTTGTGTTGTATTGGTTCAGACTCGTGTGTTGCTCTAATTTCCAGGTTAGATTCATGTTCGACGTTCTCAGAGACTGTGTAAGGTCCAGGGGAAGGATTGGCTTCAGAATCCGGCGTCTCAGTGGTCTTTTCCTGTTCCATGGGCTGTTCAGAATCATCCGAGTCAGAATGTGTTTCATTGTCATCATCCATCTCATGTTCTGAATCTTCCTGATCCTCAAAATCAGAGACATCCTGGGATTCTACGTCAGCTGGTTCAGATTCAGTTTCAGGTTCGGCTTCGGATTGTAGTTCGTACTCTCGGTCCTCAGCTGTAGTGGTACCAACAGGTGGGTCTTCGTCAGAGTTATGATTAGTATTTTGGTGTGATTCATCTGTCGCCGTTTCTTGTGAGTGAACACTGGTGAGCAACTGAGTCTTCGGTGTCAGTTCCTCTCCTGAATTTCCTTCATTATTAGCCTGTGACTTCAGAGCTTCGTGAGTGGCCTGGTCCTCTTTGGGTTCTGAAGCCTCAGAGTCATGCTCAGCTTCTGTATTCTCAGCGACCTCCTCAGAGGAACCTCCATCAACTTCACTATCACTATGACCTTCATCCATCAACGGTTCTTCAACATTTGTCTCTTTTTTTCCTTCACTCATGTTCATATTCGAATGTTCTGCCACTCCCGAGTCATCATCATCATCATCATCACTATCATCATCACCATTATCTTCATGAGCATCGTTACCTTCTGTAGGTTTTACATTTACGTCATCGTCGACGTTCTGTTCTCCTGGTGTAGCTACAACCACCAGCTCTTTCTTGTCAGTTGTCGTTTCTTCATCTTGTTTACCTTCCCTCGTCATCTCGTTATCATCGCCGATTGTCAACACAGGTTCTTCATCATCGTGCACTTCCTGTTGTGTGTCCTCGCTGCCTTCTTCTTCAGAGGAATTTTTGTCTTTAACTTCCACCTCAGGTTGGGTATATTCACTTACTGTTCGCTTGCTGGAACCTGATGCAAATGATTTTCCTGAATTATAGGACATGTCTTGATTATCTTCGTGGCTTGAATCGTTCTCGTTGTCGTCAGGTTTTTGTTCGTGTAAATCACCATCGTCAGAATTCTCCTTGGATGAGTCTTCATTTATGGCACCGAGCTTCTCAAGAGCTGCTTTTATTTCACCTGATTCTTGACAATCACAAGGTTCTGACTCAACGTCGGGGAATTTGTGATCATGAGTGGTATGGACTGAGTCCTTTCCGGGGTTGCCATTCGTCTCTGGTGACTCAGGCACTGGTGAGTCGTTGTCCCCTCCTTCAGGTGGGGTACTGCTACTTCTCAAGAAGATTATATCATTAAAAACATCTCGGAAATTCTCCGGGGGAGTGTCTGTGACAGGCGGGTTCTGGTGTGAGTCTTCTTCCCCCTCCACTGTTTCGTTGTATTCCTTCTCCATGTCCAAAATAGCTTGTATGTTGTTAATGTCGTCTACGTCGGTGTCGTCCATGTCTACGCTTCGAAGCATGCCGGGGTCGACACTCACCTTGACGTGCTCACTCTCGCTTGTTATCTGGTCTGTCTCGCCATCAGATGAGGCCTCGTCACCTTCGTGTTGTTCAACATCTTCAACAGCTCCGCTCTCCGGCTTACTTTCGTTTTCAACTCCTCCTTCAGCCTCGTGTACAGGTTCTGTCACTACTTCGTCTTCGGGTTCTGACTCGAGAGCTGTTTCAGGCTGTGATTCATGGTCGGTTTCAGGCTCTGCTTTGGCTTCACCTTCCTCTTCGGGTTGTACATGAGGTTCGGCTTCAGATTCTCTCTCAACTTTCTCTTCGCCCTCTACTTCAGGATTTGTCTCAGTATTGGTTCCTGGTTCGGCTTCCGGTTCTACCCCAAGTTCTGAATGAGTTTCTGGTTCTGGCTCAGAATTATCTTCGGGTTCGACTTCAGATTCTGTATGAGATTCGGTTTCAGGTTCAGCATGAGGTTCAGCTTCAGGTTCTGCATGAGGTTCAGCTTCAGGTTCTGTATGAGATTCAGGTTCAGCATGAGATTCGGTTTCAGGTTCAGCATGAGGTTCAGCTTCAGGTTCTGCATGAGGTTCAGCTTCAGGTTCTGCATGAGGTTCAGCTTCAGGTTCAGCATGAGATTCGATTTCAGGTTCAGCATGAGGTTCAACTTCAGGTTCTGCATGAGGTTCAGCTTCAGGTTCAGCATGAGATTCAGCTTCAGGTTCAGCATGAGGTTCAGCATGAGGTTCAGCTTCAGGTTCAGCATGAGGTTCAGCTTCAGGTTCAGCATGAGGTTCAGCTTCAGGTTCAGCATGAGGTTCAGCTTCAGCGTTTGATTCAAATTCAGCTTTAGTTTCTTTTTCGACTACCGATTCTTTCTCAGACTGGTCTACCATTACGAGTTCAGACAGGACTCCACCTCCTGATGTCGCGTCGTAATCACTCTCTTGTTTCCCTTCAATTTGACCTACTGGTTCTGCCTCAGCCTCCAAGTTCTTTTCCACTATTGGTTCTGAACTTGTCTCCTCTTCACCTTCCTCTGGTTCTTCGTCTGCAGGTGACTCTTCCTTGGCCTCTGGTACGGATTCAGAATCAACTTTTGGTGAGTCATCCTCCGGTTTGGTTTTCGTCTTCTGTGCAGGTTCGTTGTCCGTCTCAGGTGTTTCTTCGGCACCGATCGGCATCACCTTGAAATTGGCAGAGACTTCAGCTACGGTGTCCACCACGTCCTCGCCAATCACTGGAGCCGCGTCATCCTCACTCTTCAGAGTCTCGAGTTCTCTTCCCGCCATCTTCTTGACTTGGGCTTCATCAGTTTCGACACCGGGTTCAGCGTCCTCTTCGCCTGAAGTTTCATCCTGGGTTGGAAGTCCTCCACTTGACTTTGTCTCATTAGACTCTAGAAGTTCTCTCTGAGTCGAAGCTTCCTCCTCTCTCTCCGGGGACGCTTCCTGGACTGGCGGAGATCCTTTGTCGTTTGTATCACCTTTGGTTTGAGGTCCTTCCTGGACGTGAGGTTCAGTCTCCTTTACTGGAGAATCATCGTGGGTTGGAGAATCATCCATCGCTGAAGAATCATCGTGGGTTGGAGAATCATCCATCACTGGAGAATCGTGGGTTGGAGAATCATCGTGGGTTGGAGAATCATTCATCGCCGGAGAAGCATCGTGGGTTGGAGAATTATCCATCCCTGTAGAAGCATCGTGGGTTGGAGGTTCATCCATTGCTGGAGAAGCATCGTGGGTTGGAGATTCATCCATCGCTGGAGAAGCATCGTGGGTTGGAGAATTATCCATCGCCGGAGAAGCATCGTGGGTTGGAGATTCATCCATCGCCGGAGAAGCATCGTGGGATGGAGATTCATCCATTGCTGGAGAATCATCCTGGGTTGGAGACTCATCCGTCGTTGGAGAATCATCCTGGGTTGGAGACTCATCCGTCGTTGGAGAATCATTCTGGGTTGGAGACCCTTCTTCAGCTGAGGTTTCCTGTTCATGATCCTCAGCAACAGTTTGAGGAGCCTCGACTGAGCCCTTGACGGGAGGCTTGTCTACGACCCCATCCTGTGAGAAGAACCAGAGAGAGAATTATATTTTTAAATATATTAAAAAACGGATTAGCTGGAGATTAAGCATCCTAATTTATTCCACATGAAGATTAACCACCCTAACTCTACCCCCACCCCTCCATGTAGAGGTAGGTGTTTATTCTTCAATTGATTAAAAAAAAATATATCAGTTACCTTTACAGCCATCGCGTTAATACTACGTTGTCAATTCCTCAGTACTGGGAACACAAATTAGGTAACGTCTGAGTGAATATAACATCATATACGAGTTTCACTAACATTTTAGATAACAGAAAGTTAGTTTTTAAGAGTAAATGATCTATCCCAACAAGATTCTTACCCATTAGTTATCAAAATAGTTTTGTGGTGATTAGACTTAGTAAATTGTCTAAGTGGAACCCATTTGTATTTTTTTTTTAGACACAGCAACTACTGAAGCTCATAAACTTGGTGGCTGTGATAGTAATGCTCAAAAAACCAAAACGAACTCTCTTGACATAAAATTATTCATATATAGGATCACTTGAAGATTAGCTCCCCCAGTATAGTTCACCTGCTGATTAAATACCCTCCTTTAATATTACCTTGGAGGTTAAGTTAGGTTTGGTTAGGTTGTATTTGGTTAGGTTAGGTTATATTTGGTTTGGTTTGGTTTGGTTAGGTTTACTTAAGCTAGATTATATTTGGTTAGGTCAGGTTAGGTTGGGTTGGAGTTTAGTCAGTTTAAGTTAGGTTAGGTTCGTTTTTAGGATGGTTAATCTTAAGGTTAAATAAACTGGGATACCTTAATCAATGTAAATAATCAGTTCATCACCGTGACTCACCTGTCTAGGAAGGTCATCAGCTGGGATAGTGGGGGACTCCTGTGGGATGGGCTGAAGTGTCGTGGTGAAAGGAAGAGGTGACGTGAATTTGGTAGTGGAGGAGAGTTTGCCAGTACTCTTCCTCCTCCCCATTCCTAGGTAAGAGGACACTAGCGACCTGCCATTACGGACTCCAACCACCTCATCATCGTCTGTGTATGAATCCAACCTTGGCTTATGTTGTGGTCGCGCCCATACCACCACCGCCCATACCACCACCTGTAAAAACATCAATTCACGTCTTGATAATAATTGGTGACCAACAAGACACAATATATCCTTAGCTGTTCGTTAGCTTTACATATAGGAAGATAAAAAAATTACTTTGTTTTGATATATTCCGAAGCTTTAACACACCTGTGGGTATCATAGCAATACACCTGCGAGTACCTTTTGGAGAGAGAGAGAGAAAGGAAGAAAAGAGATAGACAGAAAGAGAGAGAAAGCAAGAGATAGACAGAAAGAAAAAAAGAGAGAGACAGAAACAAAGAAAAAGAGAGAGGTTAAAAATAAACAAGGTACGTAATTTGCTTCATGTGAGGAGTGACCACGGACGAATCAAGGTCAGCAAGCGAGGCGAGGGGCCACCAACCTCCTCCTGAGGTAGAATCCACGCGTATACGGGCACAGTGCTGCGTTAATTGGTTCTGGTGAGTCCGATGGGTGAAGTATGATCAGTTAAGTCACCGTACTCAAGGGTTAACACATTGTACTCAAGGGGTTAAGTCACCGTACTCAAGGGTTAACACATTGTACTCAAGGGGTTAAGTCACCGTACTCAAGGGGTTAACACATCGTACTCGGGGTTAAGTCACCGTACTCAAGGGGTTAGCACATTGTACTCAAGGGATTAAGTCGCCGAATAACCACCATCCCTGCCACCATCACTACCACCATCACTGTTACTACCATCCCTACCACCACTGCACTATTACCACCATCCCTACCATCACTATCACCATCCCTACCACCATCACTATCACCTTCCCTACCATCATCACCACCATCCTATCTCAGGTTCACAAAATATACACCGTACGGGTCTTTGAGAATAAATATATACCTGGACGTCCATGGGTCACGTGTGAGGTGGTCATAACATTAGCAGGTCGATGATGCTGTCCACCACCACTACCATCCCTACTACCACCACCACCACCACTTGCCTTATTACCACCACCATCCCTACCACCACTACCACCACTATTATTACCACTATCACTACCACTACCACTATTACCACCATCCCTACCACCACCACTATCACCACTAACCCTACCACCACCACCATTACCACCATCCCTACCACCATCACTACCACCACCATCCCTACCACCACCAGAACTACTATCACTATCCCCCCTATACCCCCCCTCCCAACTTTCCTCTGTCTCCCACAAGAGACAGTGAGTAACAGAGAGAGTGAGGAGAGGGTCAAGTGACAGAGACAGTGAGTAAGTTAGAGAGAGAGAGAGAGAGAGAGAGAGGGCGGGTATACTGAGGGAGGCACTGAAGGAGGCACTGAGGAAGGCACTGGGGAGGGAGGCACTGAAGGGAGGCACTGGAAGGAGGAGGCACACTGAGGAAGGGAGGCACTGAAGGAGGCACTGAGGAAGGCACTGAGGAAGGCACTGAAGGAGGCATTGAGGGAGGCACTGAGGGAGGCACTGAGGGAGGCGCTGAGGGAGACACTGAAGGAGGCACTGAGGAAGGCACTGAGGAAGACACTGAGGGAAGCACTGAGGAAGACACTGAAGGTGGCACTGAAGAAGGCACCTTATGGCTCACACTGTAAACACGTCCAGACTGACAATTAATATCACCTCATTAACTTATCTTAAGGATCCCTCTTCTTAACATCACCTTGTTGTCACTGCTTCTATATTAAGCCAGGATTTATTGACACTATTGACAAGAGTTAAAAATACCGCCATCTAGGTACAGCCGCTTCCACTTCTACCTGGTACACTGACTGGCACGTTTTGGTGAGATGTGGCACCTCTGTGTGTGTTTACATCGTATTAAAACTCCCTAATTAAGTATTCGACAGTGTTGCCACATGCCATCTAGGTACACTGGCTTTCACTTCTACCTGGTACACTGACTGGCGCGTGTTGTGAGATGTGGCACCTCTGTGCTTGTTTACATTGCATTATAACTTCCTAGATAAGAATTCCACAGAGGTGCCACGTCTCACAAAATACGCCAACCACTGTACCATGTGTAAATGCAGGCGATTGTACATTTCGAAACACGCATTCTCATTTTAATAATAATAATAATAATAATAATAATGATAATAATAAATTACCTCCATCAAGCTATTTCGGGACATGACCCTCTGAGCCACGAGCCTCTTGGAGCGTTCATTGGTGTATCACGCACGGGTTACTGGCTGTTGGGGAGGAAGGGGTAGTTGGGGAGGAAAGGGGTGGTGGGTAGGAGGATGAGTGGGTGGTAGTGGCGGGGTAGGAGGAAGAGTGGTAGTGGTGGTGTAGGAGGAAGGGGTGGTAGACGACCCTGTTAGTAAGTAGTGTTGTTTCTAGCAGGTGTGTCAAGGTCGCGTGGGGCGGCGAACAGTCATAATATTTGTGGTGGAAAGAAGCAAGCAGTGGTCACCCCTCACTGTCGCCACCCCACCAACCACCACTCACCCCTTACCTGTGTCACCCCTCACCTGCGCCACTCCTTACCTGTGTAACCCCTCACCTGCGCCACC